ATCTGGCCACTGCACTCCAGCCTGGGCCACAGAGCGAGACTCCGTCTCAAAAAAAAAAAAAAAAAGAAACTTTTACTGAAGTGGCCATGTACAGCAGCAGCAGAAGTCCTGCTCCTTGCAGAGCGGGAACACCCCACAGGCAGGGTAGTTACCTCTCATATTTATACCCGCTTTTAATTATATGCAAATGAAAGGTCAGTTTATGCAGAAATATCTAGGATGAGGGTGGTAACTTCCGCGTTGTGAGATCATTGCCATGGACAGGGGTGGTCATTTCTGGGTGTTGCCATGGTAATGGTAAACTGACATGGCACACTGGTGGGCGTGTCTTATGGAAAGCCCAGGACCTGTTTTAGCTAGTCCTCAATTTGGTCCTGTGTCCAAGCCCTGCCTCCAGGGGTCCCAGGACTCAGGGTTGCCTCTCCCACTGCAGAGCATCCCGTGCAGCCCACGGAGACCCAAGTAACCCTCAGTGACCTGCGGGCTGGTGTAGCCTACACAGTGCAGGTGCGAGCAGACACGGCGTGGCTGAGGGGTGCCTGGAGCCAGCCCCAGCGCTTCAGCATCAGTGAGTGGAGGGGGTGGGACCCAGTTATTTGCACTGCGCTTCCCATAATGATCTTAGCAGCCCTGCCCTCACCCTCATTCCCTCCATGGCTCCCTACTGCCCTCAGGAGAAAGCAGCAGCTCAACCTGCTCCCATTGCCTTCTCTTGCAGCTTCCTCTCACACTCCAGGAGCCTTGCCCATGCAGGTCCGTCCCTCCCTCCTGCCTGGAATGTTTGTTTTCCGCACGGTCCAACTCCTATTCATCCTTCAAAACTCAGCTCAAAAGTTCCCTCCTCCAGCAAGCCTTCTCTGCCTCCTTCTGGCCATGCCCTTGTCTACCACTGTCCCTCCTCCCTGGTCTGACACCGTGGGTTGGGGGTAGATGTGTCAAAGTATCTGGGGGCTCTTGGGGAGGAGGGAGGTGCAGGAATCTGTTCATTGAGCGAGAAATAAATCAATGCAAAAATAAGGAGGATGCAGGCGAAGCCTGGTGCGGTGGCTCACGCCTGTAATCCCAGCACTTTGGGAGGCTGAGGCTGAAGGATTGCTTGAGCCCAGGAGTTCAAGACCAGCCTGGGCAACATGGTGAGACCTCATCTCTACAAAAAAATATTTAAAAAATAGTGGGGTGTGGTGGTACACACCTGTAGTCTCAGCTACTCAGGAGGCTGAGGTGGGAGGATGGCTTGAGCCCAGGAGTTCAAGGTTGCAGTGAGCCGTGACCGCACCACTGAACTCTGGCCTGGGCAACAGAGCAAGATCCTGTCTCAAAAAAAAAAAAAAAAAGAAGAAGAAGAAGAAGGAGAAAGAAGAAGAAGAGGAAGAGGAAGAGAAGAAGAGGGAGGAGGAGAAGGAGGAGAAGGAAGAGAACCACACAGGCTCTGTTGTCTGGGGTGTATGGTTATAAGAGATTCAGAGATCAAATGATCCCTGTACATGCCACGGTGTCCTTTCAGTTCCAAGAGTACCAACTGGAACCCAGAGAACAAGAGTAAGAGTTGGTGTGGGGCAGGCAGGCCTGGGTCCAGGGGCAGCCACATGTGCCCTATGTGTAGGCTCTTGGAATTACGGAGTCTTTTTTTTGTTTTGAGACAGATTTTCACTCTTGTTGCCCAGGCTGGAGTGCAATGATGCGATCTCTGCTCACTGAAACCTCCGCCTCCCGGGTTCAAGCGATTCCTCTGTTTCAGCCTCCCGAGTAGCTGGGATTACAGGCACCCACCACCACACCTGGCTAATTTTTGTATTTTTAGTAGAGATGGGTTTCACCATATTGGTCAGGCTGGTCTCGAACTCCTGATCTCAGGTGATCTGTCCGCCTTGGCCTCCCAAAGTGCTGGGGTAACAGGCATGAGTCACTGTGCCCGGCCTGGAATTACAGAGTCTTGAACACTTCCTGCATGCCAGGCCTTTATTCCTTGACAGCTACTGGGCAGGTGGGTTCTGTGGTCTCCCAGTGAGAAGCCTGTGGCATGTGCACCAGGGTCAGCAGCAAGTTCATGGAGAAACCGGGCCCTCCCAGCTCCTTCCCTGAGGAAGAGGCAGGAGGTAGCCCTCTGCCAACCCACGCTCTCCCACCCCAGAAGTGCAGGTTTCTGATTGGTTCATCTTCTTCGCCTCCCTGGGGAGCTTCCTGAGCATCCTTCTCGTGGGCGTCCTTGGCTACCTTGGCCTGAACAGGTAATTGACACCTCTTACCGTTACCATAGCAATGGTAATGATGCCAGGCAGGGGAGCCCCAAAGTGGAGCTTAGCCCACTGATTGGGTTCTTGGCTCCGCCTAGGAAAGAATTCAAGGGCAAGCCAGAGGTAGAAGAAAACAGCTTTACTGAAGAAGCAGTTATAGCTCCGTGACTGCCTCTGCAGAGCACGGCTTCCCTGTAGGCGGAGAGTAGCCACTGAGAGCGGTTTTGCAGTCAGATTTATACTTACTTTTAATTGCATACAGATTAAGAGCGCAGTTTATGCAAAATTTCTTTTTCTTTTTTCTTTTGTTGTTGTTGTTGTTGTTGTTGTTTTGAGGTGGAGTCTTACTCTGTCACCCAGGCTAGAGTGCAGTGGCACGATCTTGGCTCACTGCAACCTCCTCTTCCCAGGTTCAAGCCATTCTCATGCCTCAGCCTTCCAAGTAGCTGGGACTACAGGTGCGTGCTGTCACACCCAGCTATTTCTTTTGTATTTTTAGTAGATACAGGGTTTCACCATGTTGGCCAGGCTGGTCTTGAACTCCTGACCTCAAGTGATCCTATGCAGAAATTTCTAGGGAAGGGTAGTAAGTTTTGGGTCCTTGGGTCATTCCCATGGAAAGGGGCGGTGACACTGGTGGGCATGTCTGATTGAAAGCTGCTTTCAAGCCGGGTGCAGCGGCTCATGCCTGTAATCCCAGCACTTTGGGGGGCTGAGGCAGGCAGATCGATTTAGGCCACAAATTGGACACCAGTCTGGCCAACATGGCGAAACCTGTCTCTACTAAAAATACAAAAATTAGCCGGGTGTGGTGGCACGCATTTGTAATCTCAGCTACTCGGGAGGCTGAGGCAGGAGAATCAGTTGAACCCAGGAGGCTGAGGTTGCAGTGAGCTGAGATCGCGCCACTGCACTCCAGCCTGGGCAATAGAGCGAGACTCTATCTCAAAAAAAAAAAAAAAAAGAAAAAAAAAAGGTGCTCAGTTCCTCTCACCGTCCCCCTTTCCTCTTCAGGGCCACACGGCACCTGTGCCCACCACTGCCCACACCCTGTGCCAGCTCCGCCATTCAGTTCCCTGCAGGGAAGGAGGTAAGGACTCCTTTTCTAATCCTAAGTCTTTTTATTGGGTGCACACGCTGGACAAGGGTCACGCATTAGCTCATTTTATTCTCCCCCAATCCATCAAGGTAAGGACTCCAAAACCAGTGCTCCAAACCCCTTCCCATTTTAAAGACAGGCAAGCAGAGGTACATTTCCTGGCACTAGAAACAGAACTCAAAGTGGCTTTATTATAAAGGGCACCTGATGGAAAAATCCTAAAGGAGTGGGCTTCTAGATATGGCTGAATCCAGCGACTGGGGTCTATCTCGGAGCTGCCCATTCAGGGTTCTCCCCCAGGCATGCTGAGCCTTCTCTGATTGGAAGCAGAGTGTCCATTCTCCCCATTACCTAGGGCAACAGTCTCAGGGCCATCACTGATTGGTCCAGCTTGGTTCACAGGCTCTTCCCTGAGCCTATGGCTGGAACCAGAGGGTTAGGGAAGGGTCTGATGGGTGGGCTGGCCAGGGTCACATGACCAGTGCTAGAGCTGAGGTGGGGCCACTGCACTGTCAGCCACACCATCTGTGAAAAGAGGGGAGGGAAATTTCCCAGAGAGAGAGGGAAGTGCTCTTCCTAAGAGGGGCTGAATGGGTCAGTGAGGCAGAGTTCATCCTCAAATTGGTCTCAGGATATATATATATA